TTTACTTTACAAATTCTTGCCAACAAATCTGAGGGTGTGTAAACCAACCTTTTACACTTTTCATACATCACATCTGAGGTGAAACAGTACTTTTTATCACACAGACCTCGGACAGAATACGGCATTTCACAATTTTTCAATGTCCAGGACGATCAATCGTGGGCTTTTAGCGAAACCTTTCAAAACATTTCCAAAATCACCCATACGGCCAGCCGGTTCCCATTTTTAGTGCGACCTGTCAGTGTGGTCGAGTGTTTGAATGAACTTTAATGGAGATACGCTTCAACATAATAACGAATTTATTATCATCACTTTTTGTTATTTGATGGTTCCAGTTATAACGATGTGTAATGTTATAAAGCGTTTGATACGCGCGACATTTCTAAGTACTCCTGCAAGCGATGTTCATGAACGATGAAAACAAACACCACGGACAAGCGATTAAAATTGCAAGAGAGACTACTAACAATCAATAAAAAAAATATAATTCGGTAAAACATTTACAGAGACAACAATTTTCATTCACGAAGACAAGTATTAAAGTGTCTCTAAAAATCCTGAGTCTTTAAGCTTAAAGCTTAAGCTTAAGTTTATTTTGTTTTACTTTCAGCCGGCCTCTCGGTGTTTGTTTTGTTTTTCAAAGATGAACTCCTCCAAGCAAGAAAATCACTCAAAGTTTTATTTCTACAGCTAAATTTGTAACTAAATATTCTTCGGAACGTTTTTTTTTCTATTTGTCGTGAAAAAAAAATCTGAAGGCCTGTTAAAGTTACGTAAGCTTATATCAAACCTAATATATAGATTTAGCCAGGGCTAAAACTCCCATTAATAAATTTATATTTTAAATCAAACAATAAACTTGTAATCCACAAATAGGTTAACTTACGGGCACATTCATGGGACTTTTGAGGGAAAGGATAAGTTATTTTAGAGTGAAACATCTTACATCGAGTTGATAGCCTAAATATATGTACACCCAAAAAATAGCAAACATCTTCTATCACATTCAAGAGCCTCTTGATCACAGTAGATTAGGCCTCGAAAACAAATTCTTGGAAAAAACATCAGGCAGCATTTTTTTGCGTTCGACAGGTTTACTTTACAAATTCTTGCCAACAAATCTGAGGGTGTGTAAAACAACCTTTTATACTTTTTATACATCACATCTGAGGTGAAACAGTACTTTTTATCATACAGACCTCGGGCAGAATACGGCATTTCACAATTTTTCAATGTTCAGGACGATCAATCGTGGGCTTTTAGCGAAACCGTTCAAAAAATTTCCAAAATCACCCGTAAGGCCAGCCGGTTCTCATTTTTAGAGCGAGCTGTCAGTGTAGTCGAGTGTTTGAATGAACTTTAATGGAGATACGCTTCAACATAATGACGAATTTATTATCATTATTTTTTGTTATTTAATGGTTCCGGTTATAACGATGTGTAATCTTATATAAAGCGTTTGATACGCGCAACATTTCTAAGTACTCCTGCAAGCGATGTTCATGAACAATGAAAACAAACACCACGGACAAGCGATTAAAATTGCAAGAGAGACTACTAACAATCAATAAAAGAAAAATAATTCGGTAAAACATTTACAGAGACAACAATTTTCATTCACGAAGACAAGTATTAAAGTGTCTGTAAAAATTCTGAGTCTTTAAGCTTAAAGCTTATAAGCTTAAGTTTATTTTGTTTTACTTTCAGCCGGCCTCCCGGTGTTTGGTTTTCTTCAAAGATGAACTCCTCCAAGCAAGAAAATCACTCAAAGTTTTCTTTCTGCAGCCAAATTTATAACTAAATATTCTTCGAACCGTTTTTTTTTTCTATTTGCCGTGAGAAAATATTTCTGAAGGCCTTTTAAAGTTCTGTAAGCTTATATCAAACCTGATACTAGATCAGATCATTGACTCAAATCTCAACAAATGTGCAAAAACTTGCTGCATAAACTGTGCTCGACTTCATGAAATTAGATATAACAAAAACAAACATCAAATACAATCATTACTCAGTCTTACCATTCGAGATTCAGTTCCTGAAAGATATCAAGGAAGGCCATAGTTCCTTGAGACTTTTAAACCCTCTTACGCATTGAGCAAGGTGAAAGACGAAAACGATGCCATCCGAAATCGGATTACCCAATTTTGACAAGCGACGCATTTCTCAACCAAAAACCCAATAAACAAACCAGCCATGGATAACAGAAGACTCTTGATAGCAGCTGTATTTCATTTTGTACATCCAGTGGAAAAAGACAGTTAAAAACATCACAAGTTGACACAAAACTCTGTCAGCTTTACCTTTCAGAGCAAACAAGTTTCAAGACGCGGCATAAATTTTCCGCATGAACTCACCTGTCAAATTTTGACCAATCAGAGTACAAAAATTGGACGTAGAGCGTGACCAACGCGTGACCATGGTAAGAAAAGGTCTTCCCCGCCTTTATTTTCAAAAAAGTGGTTGAATTTTCGCGTCCGAGGTCAGTTTGAAATCAAAATCTTGACAGTGCGGGGCCATAGTGACATATTTCATATGAATCGTTGGAAAAAATAGTCTTGAGCCTGCGATCATGTAAAACTGGTAATTTGTCAGCGGATAACTTCAAAAAAGTACTCGACCTCGATGGGTCGACACTTGAGCCCGTGGTACGGTCAGGTGACACTGGTTAGCGGATATCCTGTTTTGACGGCTGTCAATTGAGCACAACATTGATGTGCAATTAGTTTTCTACTGGGCTCCCAAACTAGCTAGAAAGTGTGAGAGAAAACATTGGTTTCCCTGTGGTGCGGACGGACGGTCGGGCGTACGGTCACGTGATTACCAAATTTTCTCGGATGGGTAGATTACCACATTTCCTTAGCTATAGAGCTCTGTCCACGCGCGCGCTTCGCGCGCGGGTGGAGCTCCGCTAAAAAAAGGGCCTGGGGCCTGGGGACCCCTGTTTATCCTATGACTGACTCACAATGTAGATCCCTTCCAATCAAGTTTTAATTTTTGCTGTTCATTTCACTTGATATCAAGTACCTGTTGTTCAAAAACTACACATCTCAACCTGTAGCGGAACCGCCCTTTTATGTTTTTTATTCGAGCCACGAAAAGGTCTAGTTACTTACGAGACAATACCTTCATTTCGCAGTTATTTCAAGACCCCAATATTCGCCCAGGTCTTGGAGATCGAACCCCGTGAGTTCCCAAGGGCCTTTTCATACATGAGCCCGGTTTCTGAGATCTCGCGGTTACCACCTCTAAATCCTGGGTAAAATTTTTGATGTTTTCATATGAAGAGACAGGCTGGCTCGATTCCCGAGATCTTGCTTTTTTCAATCGGGATCTTGGTAAGTGGGTGGAAAGTTGTGCCATATGAACACTCTACTGAGCCCGGTTACCAGGATGAGATCTAGAGAGGGATAAATTCTTCTGCAATAGGGCTGCCTGGATGGCATCATCTTGCTTTGCCTGCTGTATTTTTCACATCATAAGTATCCCATTTGACTGCAGTTGCCAAAGCTATAATATAATAATAATTTTTGTGTTTCACCATTAGTTTGGTTTGTTTCTCGGATTTTGTGCCAGAACTCGTCCCTAGAATCTACGGCCTTTTCTCATCTCAAAACCAGGCTGGAATTTCTCATATGAACTCAAGGCGAAATTGGTCCTGGTAACCGGGACAGTCCGGTCAACCGGGCTCGATCATGTGAAGAGGCACTAAATTGAATTCCTATCCTACGCCAACCCTGTAAAGTGATTTGTACAAATGTTGCAGGCAAAATCCATGCTCATTTTGTAAACCGCAAGATTTCTTTTGTCTCCTATGAACAATTAGTGCTAGGAAACAAAGGAAATTTGAACCAAACTAGGTTAAATCTGATTTAAAATAGCCTGTGTTGCGGTCGGCCCACGTATCGCGTTAAGGTTTAAGGTCTCGGTAAAGGAAAACGAGGTGCCCACAGAAAAAAATTCTAGTCGCGCGAGTATTTTCGCTACAAAGGCAAGTTATATATCAAATTAAAGATAAAAGACTAAATTACCTTATAAAAGATTTTATTTCATCGAATTTCAAAGGGCGCTTAAGTTTTTTGCTCTCGAACTCAGAGGTATCGAGTTTACTGCTGAAGCTCCAGCCCTTTCGCGTTGTTAAATATTCGCTTCCTTTTTATTGCGTCTGATTGACAGATAAAAGACCTAAAAAAGGGTGTGAGGAAATTTGCATATGTCTCGTATTAGCGGAATTATTGCATTTCAAACTAAAACGTCGAATCTCGAGCGCGATTTACGCAAAGAAACTGACATAAAATGAGTTACAAAGGGAAATCGGAAAATTCCTCACACCCTTTTTGAGTCTATATGATTATCCATCATATCTGAAAGTTTCAAAGCGATAGCTTAAAACCTGTCCCGACTGGAGGTCGGAGAAGTTTGATTTTTGCGTCTAAAATAGAGTGAGGGAAAATCAGCTCTAAAGATTTAGCGCGAGGTCCTCGCTTGGCTGGTTAGCTCAGAAAAGGCTCATTTTAGAAGGGTTAAAAAGCACTTTCTGATTTTCTTTTTCTGCCAAAATAAAATTTAGGACCCCCTCATGACAAAAATAAAAAAAAAACAAAATCGAGCAATGTACTAAAATTTTCATTTACCGAGACCTTAAGCAGGAGTGCCTGCGACACAGGCTAATTTTACCCACTACATAAAAGCCTTGGCACGCTTAACAAGGCAAGTAGTTCCATCTCGGTTCTGCCCACCCACCCACACCGTAGTTTGTCAGAGTTTTCCAAACTCTACGGCATAACCAGGCCCCCAAAGGCTACCAAATTGTTAGCAAACATAAATATACTGATTCTGTGTTAGCAATAAGCCTTCTTAGAATAATCGAGCCCTTGGAGCCAGAAAAAAACGTTTTTTATAAACGTGTTTGACTTGAGGGTATATCTATTCGTATCCCCGTGGCTACTAAAGTAACTGTATATTTTTACATTTTAGATGTTTGAAAATGTTTCTTTTTGGCTATGGCATCTTCTTTATGGGAATCTGAATCACGTGATGATAGAGTAGATAAAACCCACCGAGTAAGAGTGACGTTTTTGGCTTCTGAATGGGGATCAAGCAAAGGAGGGCTTTCCACCATCAACAGGGAGTTGGCCATTCAGTTAGCCAAATGTCCTGAAGTGGAAGTCTCTTTCTTTTTACCACAATGCAGTCAAGACGACAAGAAGTTAGCCCTGAAGCATAATGTAAAGATCATTGAGGCAGCACCACTGCCTGGCTTTGAGCAACTGGACTGGCTTTGCGTTCCGCCTGAAGATTTGCAAATCGACATAATCATAGGTCATGGAGCTAAACTCGGTAAACAGGCACAAATCATTAAAAAATCTAAAGGGTGCAAATGGGTTCAAGTGGTGCACACAGATCCAGAGGAACTTGGAATGTTTAAAAACTATTCAGACGCAATTTCAAAGGGCGAAGAAAAACACAAGACAGAAATAAAACTGTGTGAAATGGCGGATCATGTTGTTGGGGTTGGCCCCAAGTTGAGCGAGGCCTTTCGCTCCTATCTTCGCAGCTGCCAAAAAGATGACAATGTTGTTGATTTCACCCCGGGTGTATTTGAAGAGTTTTCGGCTGTGAAACAGGCTCCTAGCGAAAGGCAACAACGCAGTGTCTTGGTGTTTGGTCGTGGAGACATAGAGGATTTCAAACTGAAAGGATTTGACATCGCTGGGAAAGCGGTCGCTGAATTAGAAGATACCCGTCTTGTGTTTGTTGGAGCTCCAGATGGGAAACACGAAGAAATAGCAAACCGGTTGACCGAATGTGGTGTTCCTGCAAGTCGCTTGAGAGTAAGGGGATTTCTACCAGACCGAGAGAGTTTGAAACGCTTGTTTCAAGAAGTAGATCTTGTAGTCATGCCTTCAAGAACAGAAGGCTTTGGGTTAACAGGGCTTGAGGCCCTGTCAGCTGGTCTTCCTGTGCTTGTCAGTCGCAACTCTGGTTTTGGAGAAACCCTGTGCAGTGTACCCTTTGGTTCAAGCTCTGTGATTAACACAGAGGACCCCTCAGAGTGGACCTCAGCCATTAAGAAAGTCTGGGCTAAGGACAGGAAAAACCGACTTGAGGAAGCGGAAACCTTGCGTTATTCTTACGACAGGAAATACAACTGGGCCAAGCAGATAAACGATCTTATTGAGAAGATGATCAGCTGGATCCAAGGTAGGAATGTCTGTTTTCTTTTATGTTTTGTTTCTTGTTTGTGCGTTTTTTTGCTTTGATTTTTCTGTAACAAGTATACTCTCTTCGTGATTAAAATTAAATCAAAGAAACTAATAGAAAATTATCGAAAACAAACAATCAAACAAACAAAACGAAAGAAAAACAAAATCTGAAAATAAAATAAAATAAAACTAAACTAAGCAGACACACTTATAGCCTGAAATCGTAATAGAAATGTTGGGAACTATTCAGCCTTTTGCAAGTTTCAGGATAGCAATGCGTGGAAAACTGTTTCCCTTTAGATATTATTGTAAGATTTTTAATTCATAACCATCTGTCATATGCTTCATGTACAGCTCACTTTTATAATTATCTCTTGTGTCCATATTTACCGTAAAAGCCCGGTTCCATTTGTTTTATCTTTAACAGATGATTCTTCAAATGTTGCGAGCTCCTCAGAAACAACAGGCAGAATGTTTTCATCTGCCTGCAAAACTTCTCAGCGGACGGAAGGTATGGACGAGCACCGCGCAGGTAATTTCTCCTATCCCGAAAAACTTTTATTACAATCAGTACAATTATATTGCCCTTGAAGGGGTGTTCTGTGCTCAAAAAAGCGTTATCATACTTTAACAATTGTTCAAAACTTCAATTGCAAATTAAGACATTGATAATTGGCAGCATGTTGCGCTCTCTTGTTTTTTCGTCTTGGCGTACACTTACTGATGCGTTCTTAACTTTTCACTGAGATTTGCCGTAAATTGGCTTTGGCTTTCTCGCTTTCTATAGTTATAACCACCTCAGTGAGAGAGACAATTGTTGGCTTCACACTAGAGCTTGCGTGCATAATGTAAGTGTACCTGGAACCTACTTTGAGTGTGAAGAGGTAATTTGTGCCAACTTCAACTTTACTTGGTGATCATGGAAACGATTGTAGTTAAATGAAGCCGAAGTTCGCCGCCAAGTATCGGGTATACACTATGAACGGACAGATAAACATTCAACACGTCTTAGCTAAGAGCATTGCGGAAGAGTCCAAGCCCAAAGCTCTTCGGCGATTTCTTTGCCAAAGAGCGCGTTGTTTGTGCCGTTCTAAAGAAATACAGAGGAAGACTTCGCTTGTGTTTTTTTTTTATGACACTGCTAAGTACTTGTAAAAAGCGAAGTACGTAAGCATGTCTGTTAGGGTCAAAACCCTTTGAGTTCAAAGTTCCCAAAAAATATACAACTATTTCGAGAAAGGTTGTCAGAAAAAGTGCACGCGACAGTCCCCAAAGGTATTGTGGGCGGTTTTGATTTCACTGTTCTGAAGGTGGCTCGACCCAGTCTTTTTGTAGGTAGACCTTCCATCTTTGAATCTCTTTGACTTAAACAAATTTATCTTTTTTGTAAAACTATTGTAAACACATGTATTACACATAGACTTAACTTTATCATGACATTATTTTGGGGTTGATCAAAAAATATATATCACGTGACAATGACGTCACAATAGTTTGAGCTCTAAATCGAATAGACCTATTCGGCTAACTCAATGTTGTACCCAATTCAAATCTCCCGGGGATAAGATTCTTTGTGTATTGCATTTGCATTATAATGTGGCATTCACATTTAAATGATATGGAAATTCCTGAAACAAAACGTTTTATTCCCAAAGGGTTTGAATTGGGTACAACATTGAGTTAGCTGAATAGGTCTATTGCACCCCTAGTCGGCATTTTCTTTAGAAATCTTGATGTTTCCTATACTTTGGGTGCTTGTCTTCTGTTGTGCGAAGTTTCACAAAAATCGACAAGAAGGTAAACTGAAGACTGGAGTCAATGCAGACAAATTTGCTACTTTTTGCATGTTTCTGAAAAGTTTTTATCACTCGTTCGTTTTGCAAATGACCCTCATACACTCTACAACCGGCTAAACGCGAGTAGACTTCCGCAATTTCGAAAAACACGAAAACATGTAAATCAGGGTAAAACGCAATGCTGAGCTCTTTTTGTAATTGTGTGGTTCCAGAAAATAGCCATACCACCCCCACAAAAGGGATTTGCCGTATGACCCCCCTCCCTTCTGGATTTTCCTAAATCGGCCCTCAAAATTCACCCCCCTCACCCCTCCGGAACTTCCAAAATTTTTGCACGACCCGTGAAACTATTGCTATCTCTTATTGAAGTGAACAAATGAATAGTTTCGTTCACTAGGATGTCAAATTTTGTGAGTTTCATGTATTTTCTGTTGAATTCTTTAACAGATAAGCGCATTCCATATGCGAACTCCCTATGCACTCAAGTCACGAGCAAATTTTCTACAAAGAGATAAACAAAAATTCTTTTGTGCTCAAGTCACAAAGAAATTGTTGAAAAAGTTCTTCAAATGAAATACAAGGTCGCGTGGGAAATATAAGCCTTTTACCTCGCTTAATTTAATCCACCGTGTTGGACCAGCCGTTGGCTGCTATTTCCGCTGGGCAAACTGCCTTTATCGCTAGGTTTTTGTGTGCGTGTCTTTTCTTTGTTAAGTATATCAATTAGGTTTTCTCAGCCATCAGTACTAGTGTAGACTTCGATCTGTCAACTTCAGCTCGGCATTGGGCCATAGGCTCTCTGTACACCAGTTTTTGTCTACTCAAAGCTAATCAGGTTGTCTTTGTGTGTAAACCAAAGATAGTACTCTCTTTTCTTTATGTTTTGGGGGTTAAGTTTTTTGGTTCTTTAATTCCTTTTAATCGTTTTTTTGGTTAAGTTTAGAACAAGTGCACTTGAATGAAGTGCTTACTTGAAACTAACTTCTCTTCTAGGGTGAAGCTAACAAATATAATTATATTCAACTTCGCTTTGCACATTTCGATCACCCCCTCCCCCTCCCTCCCTAATATACCGCAACCAATATTTTTAAACTGCAATAATTATTAAACAAGGTCAAACGTAAGTCCTCTCTGCCCCGTGATTCAGTTAATAGTAAACAAGGACTAAAAAAGCAATTAATAGAGAGGAGAAGTGTGACGTCACGTTACCATGGTAGAAAAATGTTTGGATCACAACAATGGGGAGCTTAAGGGTCAAATGAACCAAAAAGGGAAATATTTTCTTTTGTCGCTTTACCTTCACCAAACACTAAAAGGAACCATCCTAAGCAAGATTTGGGTAAAGATTTTACGTAATAAAACTACAAGGCTTCCAAGTTCTGTCGCTGGCTGCAGCACAATGCCTTCTGAATTTTGCCCATTTTCTCCCACTTCCACACGTCCCTCGCTACCCAGCCTCCGGAAAATCAAAGCCAGATAGTTTGCGAAGGTCGATGTCAAAAATGGTTGAGATTGCTTGCCTCTAATGACCTAAAGTGACGCCGCGAATTTTCACATGCGCCCCAAAATCGCCATCGTCATTGGATGTGCACCAAAGTGGTCGATCTTAACGGCCGTATAAAATTCAAATTTACGACAATTAACCCTTGTCACCTCCCCACAGCCCACGTTGTACCCGCCAAAAATGACAGTTGGAAGCGGCTGATGCAGGTCATAATATCATGATTATTTTTTTTGCTGTAAGTCGCCTTTCGCTTGGCATCAAAAATTTGAATATAACCTGAGATTAGAGCAGAATGACCACGAAATAATCTTTAGTAATCTTTGTGTTTACTCGTCATGCCGTTGTGCTGTGGCCGGTTGCCGAATATGCATGCCTTGTCGTGTTATTATCTATTAGTCGGGGGTGTCAGTTTCAAGTGACTGAAAACACCACAAAATCGCAGAACATGACACTAAAAACATACGGTTAGTTATCTTTATTCATTTTTCTTACATTATATTAACATTTGGGATGTAATATATCAAACATGAGAGTTGAAAATACGACGCGCAGCGGAGTATTTTTGACGAACTTCGAGGTGTTTCATCTGGTTATGAAACACTGTGTCGAATGTTTGATATTTCTTCTCAAACAAAATCATTTTTGAAGGAGAAATTAAGGATGCAAATACTAAGCAGTGTTTCATCCGATTTCCAAACACTCATTAAACATTAATTTCCTTGTATTTTCTTAATGAATTATTAATGAGTTTGAGAATAAAAGATGCAAAATTCTGTGTTTTATGAAGCATTTCTACCGATCAGTTGAATCAAGCCGAGTGCGGGCTTACGAAATACAGTAAATGTATGGGATCACATGTCGCACTTGACATCACGATCCCTCGAACAGTTCGGATGGTCCGCCTGTGGCTGACTGTGTTTGTTTGTGTCGTTCTGTGCTGTTTTGTGAGAGTTATGACTGAGACTGAATGAAATACGAGGTGCGAACGTTTGCTCCTTGTAAAGCCTTTTTATTTGTTTTTGTTGTCGTTGTTGTTTTTTTGTCACTTGAAAATTAGTTTGGATTCAGAACAACCAATGTTAGATTAAAAACGGATCATTCCGCCAGTCTTAGGTGGAATAAAATGTTTTGCGGAACATTTCCAAAGAGGCGAGCATCTTTCTGATAATTGTGCATTCAATTTGTGAGTTGATTTTGTGTCCAGAACTTCGCCTTCTTTCGCCGGGCTGAATTAAAACCCACTTGTATTCTGTTATTAGTAGTTGCAGTTACTTTTTTACATGCCCCTATGCCCAGATTTACTTACCTCTGCAGAGCCAGCGTCGTCCTTGTCTTCAATCAAAGAACCGTAATGCTATAAACGCATGCGAGTGAACAAACTTGCGCGCTTAAAACTTTCTCGGAAATCAGAAGGCCAGCAAGCTTGCTCGAGAAGAAAAGACTACTTCGATCATTTTTCTGTTGCTCATGTAATAATAGTCAGAGCTTTTTCGTTTTTTCATTTTTAATTACATATTTTTGTTTTCATTCTGTACGCAAATTTTTCTTTTCAACTGCTGTGAAGTAGCTCAGAACGACAACTGCCGGCATTGACTTCAAAACAATAGACTGACTCTTTGCCCGTAAGCAATTGCAGGAGCTGGATTTGACTGAAGTGAGCAAAACAAACCCTTATGTGCCGTTTTCTGTATTTTCTAATGATTCAGTTTGCTGAGTGTAATTTGCTTGAATGAAGTCCCTCGCATGAACCAGTTATTAAAAATAGCTAAAATTTAATGGTGAATCGTAGCTTGGTTGCGGAGCTTGCAAATGATCTTTTGCTTTTAAGATCTTTAAGTGGGTTGTTTTTGTACAGAAAATTCACTTCTTCATTGTCCGCAGGTGTAAGAGCCTTAGCCTCAACCTCGTTCCCAGGGTTCTCTCCTACCCGTCCCTATGGAGCAAGAGAGAGAGAGACCCTTGTTGGGTCTGGTCACGTGGCTCCAAAACAAAATTAATTCTGAGGGAGGAGTCCTTTCTATCACAATTTTGTGTCTCGTTCACCCAATGATCGCAAGGTTCCGCAAGAGCAAGGTAGATTTGCTAACCCTACAACTATAACTGAAACCATGGGAAATTTCTACCCAAACAGAACTTCCACTAGACAAACAAGTTGATTATTTTACCAGAGGTGAAAGCGAAAACTTGCGTTATCGCAGTTTAACCGACGACACCAATCGCTAATGAAAATTTATGATCTTGAGTTCTACACAAGCGTGTTTATATTGAAGGGAAAATCCCTCTATGTTAAACTTGCATTAAAAGTATCAATGTTTGCCTGACAGCGGCTGCTTGTAATCGGGCCGAATCAGTATACTGCAAAATCTACATCATAAGCGATCTTAGCTAGTGCTTCCGGAGCAGGGAATTCATATTTGCTGAACCATAACAATAATATTTTAGATCTAGTGACTTTAATGAAACTAAGTCTAAAATGAAATGTTTGCTTTTCCACCCCCTAACCCGCCTTTGTTATGATGGGGAATAGAAAAACGTATCGCTTTTAGTGTTAGATAGAGAAACCGGAATATAGAAGAGAGAACCTGGGAACGAGGTTGCCTTAGCCTTATGTCTATTTAATGAAAATTTGTTGTTTTGCAACCTTATTGAAGCTTTTTTAGTTCACTTAAGGTGTTTCGATACAGTTTTCAGAGGCCATACCAATATTTTTCAATCCCCTTAAAAGTGGTTTTTTCCTTGTCCGATCGCTATAAAATCTTCACCAGTAATTGGCTATGGATTGAAATTTGTGAAAATGTAGTTTTAAGTAAAATCGATACTACTATGACAACAATAAACAAAAAACTTTGAAATTGATAAAAGCCGAATTTTGTGTGATCTAGACCTGCTACTGAAAATCCAGCACTAGGAACTTAAAGTTTGGGTTTAAGCAAACAATCTCCGAAAGAAGTAAAAAGTTCTGTATGTTTGAATTCGACTGAAAGGAAAATATATTTCAAACCTTAAATTTTCAATAGTTGTGCTAGATTATATGGCTCAAATTATTCTTAAGTAGCGTCAGAATCCTGCTTAATATCATATTTTGATGATAGGAAATTTTAAAAAAGTTTCGTTAGAGTCATTTTGGGGAGATACAAGAAAGCACTAAAAGTCCAAATTCTGAATGAAGTTGCACTTATACAGGTGCTGAGAAAACGGGTTAGTTTTCAAGATCGCAAGAACGAAAGTACACCAAAATTTCCTATCATCAAAATATGATATTAAGCAGCATTCTAACGCTAGTTAAGAATAATTTGACTCATATATAGCGCTTTTATTAAATAATCTATCACGGCTATTGAAAATTTAAGGTTTGAAATATATTTTCGTTTCAGTCAAGTTCAAACATACAGAATTTTTTACTTCTTACGGAGATTGTTTGCTAAACACCAAACTTTAAGTTCCTAGTGTTGGATTTTCAGACCTATTGATTGCGTTATTTTACAGTGGTATGCCTGTGGTACGGAAAGTCCATCGCTCGCTCGATCGCTCTGTGTACGTTGAAGTGATTACCAAATTTTCTGGGATGATAGATTTACTTAGCTATGGGGCTCCACACGAGCGCGCTTCGCGTGCTTGGAGATCCGCTAAAAAACTATAGTTGCTTGAAACCGATTTTGGGAAAGATTATACTAGATAAAGATAACCCTTGTTTTACCCACTTATCAACGCCAAAACTTCTACATTGAGGATTTTGTTTATATTTTAGTGATCTGCGAAGCTACAAGTGTCCAATCAAGAGTGGGTTTTAAAATATCAACTCGAGTGCGACAAAGTTCAAAGACTTCAAACACATTGTGGGCAAGCGTGAATTTCTTTGGGCAAATCACTGTACAAAGATATTTTGTTTTTGTGTCTACAGTGGAGTTCCGGACCTTTTATATCCAGGAACTTACTAATATGAACACATTTTGTGAATGCATCTTGGAAAAAATTAGACCTACTCATTCGCATATCCAGTATAACGCAAGGAAATTAATGTCGTTAAAGTCCGTTCTATGATGTATTCTATTCTTCGAGAAAATTAAATAATAAGAAGGTTATAACCAAAGCTTGCAACTTTTGAAGACAAACTGCTCTTTCTTTCCAGGTGCACAAACAACCATAATTTCTGCACCAAGTCCACTAGGAAAACACTGTTTTTTAATTTCCCGCTTTTTTTCACCTAACCATCATTGACATCATAGGCTCTTTTTGCCGACAATTTTTCCGACACAGTACAAAAATTGTTGTTTTCTTTTTTTCTAAACTTAGATACGGTCCTTTTGGATTCAACCCCAGAAGATTTCGCCAACTTTTGAAAAATTAAATGAAATTGAATAAGATCGATGAAGTTTGAAACAATGCGAATTCTCTTTTCAGTTTGTTGTCATCCAAAAATTTTGCTACCATAGCAACGTGACGTAACGACTTCTACTCTCTATTGTTAGTGGTTTTACAGTGGGACTACACGAACCGAGCCCGAGGCCAGCGAAAAAAATTTTGAGATAAATTTTGAAATTAGCCAATCACAGGGCGAGCTCTAGAACAATGAAGTTGTGCATAGTTTTGTACTCAGAGCCAGTTCAAGATACATTGCAAACCATTTTTCTAAAAGATATAAAACATAAGGAATCATGACGTTTTTGTAAATCAAGCTGAAAATGTTTTGACAATGCTGGTCTGGGTGTGGTGTAATCAGAGCCAGCAGTAAAGAAATTTTGAGCAATCCGAACTAAAGGTGACGACCGCGCATTTCACGGCAAACAGCGCTCAGTGAGTGAATTGCCGTGTTGGTGATTTGAGAGCTACGGTGGCTCGAAAACACTTCCCAGAATGTAAAACACGTCCCAAAATCCAAAAACACTTCCCAGAATCCAAAACACATCCCAGAATCCAAAAACACTTCCCCAGAATCCAAAACACGTCTCAGAACCCAGAAACACTTCCCAGAATCCAAAACACTTTCCCAAAACCAAAACCACATTCAAGAATCCAAAGGCATCCCGGACGTGTTTTGGATTCTGGGACGTGTTTAGCCTGAGAAAACAGCCGACATTTCGCGAAGCTACCACTGGTTTCCCTGCGAAATGACGTCTGAGAAACTGAAATGCTTCTGATTGGTTGAATCAAATTTCCCACACAGCACGACCAATCAGAAACACCACCCAGATCTGGGTAGTGACACGTCATCAGTATGGAATTTCTGCGCTCGTTTCTCGAACGTCATTTGGCCGGGAAACCAGTGGTGGCGTTGCAAAATGTCAGCTGTTATCTCAGGCTAGGACTTGTTTTGGATTCTGGCAAGTGTTTTTGGGTTCTGGGACATGCTTTGGATTCTGGCAAGTGTTTTTGGATTCTAGGACATGTTTTAGGTTCTGGGAAGTGTTTTTGAATTCTGAGACATGTTTTGAATTCTGGGAAGTGTTTTGGAATTCTAAGTGCATACTTAGGGACCTAAAGTCTAAAATGACCCTTGTTTAATTAAACAAGGGTCTAATTATTATTATTTTGTTTGTTTGTTTGTTTTTTAAGCAGCCTGTTTATTTTTATAGGGGGGTTATTTCCTCCTTTTTATTATCTCCCAGGGGTTAAACTGAATTTCTGCCATACAGACAAACCAAGATTCTGCTACCTTCCAGGGATGCTTTTTATTTTTATTTATTTTCATTATTTTTTTGATAAGCACCCCTGTCTTTTCAGCATGCAAAGAAAGTAGTGTCCGATTGCCCGGGGCTAGTGGATTTTGCTATCGGGCTGGTGAATTCTGTTTTTAACTTGCCCGACTGGCAATTGATGTTTTTTGAGGAATTTGAATCGCAGAAGAACTGTGAAAGTAATTCTGTTCGTCAAAAAGCTTTTGGGGCTAGTTGAAATGACGTCTGGGCTAGTAAATGCTAGCTTCAACTTGCCCAAATGGCAAGCTGTAAAAATGATTTTCTTTGCACCCCATTTTTGTAAAGCATCCCGGCTATTCTTAAAGGGGAGTATCTCCTTCTCGTTTTGTTACCTCGTAGGGGTTAAAATGAATTCCTTCCATGCCCTCAAAGCAAGATTGAATTTTTTTATTTGACTAGCACCTCAGTTGTTTAATAGGGTAGTATCTCCTTCTCCTCCCCCTTCCCCCCACTCCCTGAGGACATTAGCAACCAACATTACAGGGTTGTCACTAAGGGCTGGGAGGCGTGGATTTCCCCTGGCTGCTATGAGCATGACGCCTGGTTACTTTATTCATAGGAAATAAAAGGAAATAGGACCGAAAGAATTTCCAGGATGTTCTATTCCCTGCTCTGAAACTTGAAACCATAGTGACAGCCCTGAACCCTAACCCATAAAAGAAACTCTCTGCTCTGCTGGCTTTATTTTCTGGTTTTAGATCATTCTAGAAATCTACCCTCTGATTGGTTCATTGCTGTGGTTTTGAAAGGCCCAAGAAATATTTTTTTCTTCCTGTTTTGAAAATGTTTATAAGTGCAACTGCTTACTAGATGCCTTTCAGAATCAACTTAGTGTGCAGCAGAAATCCCGCATAACCAAGTTTAAAAGATAAATTTGTTGTCTAAAACTGAGCACACTGGAACCAGACATCATTTAGTGAATTAAAATGTCAGTATCACCCTCAATTATGTAAAAGCTAAGATGTAAGCTTCCAGTCCCAAGACAAGCTGCTCAGTGCTTTTTTATTCACACCCAGAACCTAAGATGTCAGATTGATAAACATTTTCCCCAAATACTTTTGAATAACTGTTGTTTTAAATGTCTCACTTCAGTTTTAATTCTATTTTGTTTAACTCACAGACCTGTCAGCAAGGAAGCAGCCCTCTAGCTCTGTGGCCAACAAGGAGGAGTTACCAGGTACTATTATATGTAATAAAGCGGAAGTGGTAGACATACAGTAGATTAAAAACGCTTATTTTAACATGAAAATGACTTTTGTCGTTTGTTACATTGCAATACGAAATTATCTTTATTGTAGTAGTTGTTTATTTATATTTCAAGAATAAGTAGTAAAGAAGAAGTATGATGTGATACTTCAAGCGTCAAATTCTTTCTTTCATTCAATCTTTCTGTTAGAATTTTGCTAAGGTATTTTTAACCTGCGTTAACCGTCCTCGAGGCATGTCATAAAAAATAAGAATTATTTTTACCTCTCAACCACAAACGTCACTAACGGCTTTGGAGAGGTAGCCCTCTATTGGCGGTGTCTCCTCCCTGAACCTCTCTTTGTGGGGTAACACCCCTTTACACTTGCTTTACTGATGCAGTCTTCAAAGATATTTACATCTACATGTTACTCAGCCAAGGTTGCCCATCCCGCCATATTCAGGGCCGGGTTGTTCGAAGCTGGGTTAAGATAACTCAGGGTTAGTGCGAAATTTGAACTCAGATTTGAGAGCTTAAAAATCAAATTCAGTTTCATCCTCTTTGCCTACAATTTGATGATTGGATACTCTAAAAAGAATAGAGAAAATTATTCGGGAGAGTGCTTTTGATAAAAGGAAAAAGAATCCCGGGTTAAAATTTAACCCTAGGGTAGCGCTAACCGGCCTTCGAACAACTGGGCCCTGCAGAATTGTAATTTCAATAATTAATAATTCTATATTTAGCTAGGTGAAATTACATTTTTAACTTTACATAACTGAAATTTGTGCTAGGTTATAACTTTATAATGTAAGAGAAATAAGAAGTGCGAGCTGGGAAGCTAAATAAACTGTTAGATTTTCTAGTTAGCTCCCCATCCAATTAAAGTCAGTGTGTAAGCAGGTGAAAAAGAAGAAAATAGAATAGATAAATGAATTAATAAATTCAATTCAATTAATAGACTCAATTAAAAAAGAGCATTCCTTCTACGTTTGACCGTTGTATTTATATTCCTACACTATATTCTGGTGTTTTAGAGCCCTGATATCTATATGCACTCTTACTTACATTTCTGTTGGTGTATCATGAGTTGAGGATAATTTGTTTTTAAATATGGACATTTTATTTATATGGTGTGATCTGATCAGTTTATATAAATAAGGGCCTATATTTTGTGCGTCAACTGCCACCCTTTAACTTTCCTCACCTGTTAAGATATCAAGTTATAAACGAACAATTCTTTAACAAAAAGGAACGTAAAATTTTCTTTAACAGATTCTCTCTGCCTCGAGGAGTGCCAGAAACAGCTGCGATCAATTTATGAAACCAGCAGCAAAGTCAAAATCGTTCCGTGGGACCAAAGCTCTGCCGTTCATATCGATGAAATTTACACCCAGTTGTCTTGGCTTATGGATGAGAAGAAGCCCAGCGGAGTAACACAGAAGGAACTGAAACACTACACCGACATTTTTGACGGCGGAAGACTTGGTCATACCCCAAAGCGTATTTTGGTTCACGGACGACCAGGTATCGGCAAGACCGTTTTTACGCAGAAAGCTACATTCGACTGGTCCCAGCCCAGATGTAAAGGAAAGTTAGGAACATTTGATCTTGTACTTTTGGTCAAATTACGCGATGTTTGCGACCTCGACGATGTCCCAGGCATTCTGAGTGCTGCTAATCTTCTTGCGAGTGATGGCCCAATTTCCACTGACAACCTGTACGATTACGTTCGTCGCCACCAAGAAAAGGTGTTGCTTATTTTGGACGGCTACGATGAATACGTACACAGCGCAGAAAGGCAATCACCTGTTCTTCAAATCTGGGAGAAAAAGCAGTTGAGGGATTGTTGTGTTATTGTAACGTCTAGAGACATGAAAGGAGAGAGATTGAAAAGTTCCAGTGATGCTCAATTTGAGATCGACGGTTTTGACCGTAGGCAACAAAAAGAGTTCGCTCGTAGATTCTTGAAAGATGATCAAGATGTTGAAGAGTTTTTCAGGTACTTGAAACAACAAAGTCTGGAGGATGTAGCAAAGATACCTATTGTACTTTTAATGCTGTCTTTGGTTTGGGAGAAAAAGGATCGTGTAGGACTACCTTCATCACGGGTGATGATTTATGACCAGTTCATACAGACTATGTTTAATCATATGTCTGAAAAACAAAACAAGCCGGTGGAAAAAGTTGACGACCACAAAGAAGAACTCTGTAAAGTAGGAGAACTAGCCTTTGACGCACTTCTACAAGATTTACTTTACTTTCCTCTCAGTATACTGCCGGATCGCGTTTTGACTGAGAAACTGATCGAGGCCGGGTTGTTTCAGCTGCTAAACGTGTCCGCTCTTAACCCCAGCAAAGACGTTCACTTCATTCACAAATCCATGCAGGAGTTTTTGGCTTCTAAATTTGTAAAAGAAGATCTGTTATCTCAAGAAAGTAAAAACAATTCCCTTTTCAAAGCCGACTCAATTGAAAAGATCTTCAAGTTGAATGAAGTTTTTAAATTTGTTGGTGAAATGTCAGAAGAAGCCGCGCGCAAGATCTTGATTCATCTGTTGGAAATGGCGGCGAAGGAAGACGGAGAGTACAGCTTCGACAATCAAGCACCGTCAGTCGAAGATTTGTCAGAAACACAAAAAAATCTTTTAACTATATGTACACAGTTATTCTTCTACTGCTCAGCAGACACGAGAACAGAACTTTTCCCCACTTTTCTTTCTAATCTAGGAGGTGTTTTGTTCATTTTAAATCCTGACCAGCTGAATATTGCAGCAAAGGAAAATTTTGTTAAAACTACCGCTTCACTTATGTACATATTTTTCTCTGATAGCAACCAGTATACAGAGCAAAGTTATAATAATTTAATTAGTTTAGCACAGCAATTAAACGCTGTTATAGTTAGTAGAACAGGAGAACAGAAAGCATCAGAATTTTTGAATGTATTTCCATGGCGTAGTGTTGACGAGTTTTTTTTAATGAAAGAAGAAAACAACACTCACCTTTATTTTACTAAAATTGTAAAACGTTCATATCATGGCATTCGTCTTCCTTTGAAAATGGTAAAGACGTTAGTTAGTTTAGAAGAGACAACAAAGAAGACAAACATGAATGGTGATGAGTCAAGTGAAGAGAGCAGCAGCAGCTGTTGTTCAAAGCGTCATGGTCTCTCCAGGGTTCGGAGGATTGAAGCTGATGATGTGAACAGGTCAGAAGTGGAACAGCTGATTGAGATGATGACGTTTTTCACCGCTCCACACGTGATATTGGTTTGGGGTGAACTATACGGTGAAGTGTTTGATGCTGAGGTAACAGAGTCTCTACTGAGGAGCATCCCAACAACACACAAACTGGAGAGATTAATACTCCGTGCTATCAATTTAACTTCATCACCTGCTGTGGAGTTCATAAGCAGAGTATTTAAACAAGATCTTCCAAACTTGAAGTTGCTCGACATGTCATGGAATCCTCTTCTGGGTGCAGGAGTCGACAGCTTGATAAAACATCTCAGCTGCGCTCCTCACCTGGAGGAACTAATCCTTGAAGATGTAAAGATGACTCCACAGCAGGTGATGAATCTCACATCAGCCATCAAGCAGCACGGAAACATCATTGAACTGTGGTCAGACTACCACGTAAGTTTTCCAATTTTGTCGCAATTTGTTTCTTTAGTCTTTGTTTACAGTTTATTTCTACTCAGCTCTTGCCTTTCGCCATTTTCCTTTCTTTGTCATTTTTATACTCGACAAAACACGAGATTTGTTTTTGAAATCAAATCGCAAACTTTAGCAGATTCAAAGAATCATTTCAAATTCATTTCTTTCAACTGATTAAACTAACTCCATAAAATGTTTTAACTGAGAACGTTAAGAACAAGTAACTTTAGCTGATATTAAAACATGGAGTTGAACACAAGATGAGAAATTTCGTATCTTCAAGCAGCCATAAGATGATATTATTGGGTGAAAACAAGAACTTTTAGCAAAACAAAAGCACATAATTTCCACAGTATTAATTTCTCAATCAATTTTAATTCATACCTCTTCATAAAGTAAGAAACAAGAATCATAAAAGCAAATGAAAGATGTTCAGTTCATGTTCAATTCAAACAAATGAGCAAAGAGGAAGCACATTGAACTCACAGTTTCACATTTATCGTCCAGGGCTCCTATAAAAACAGTTTAAGTCAAGTGAAGTTCCTTTGAAAGTCCAAAAAACAAACAAGTCTTTGTTATAGCTGTTCTTTTGTTAGTTCTTGAGCGTTTCTTTGGTAAATACTGGTCCTTGCAGTTCGGTGAAGCGTTGGTACAAAAAAATTGTATCTTCGAGACAACGGTTGAAAGCAACACCAAAAAAATTTTCCTTACAGGTAAACACTTCTCTGTTCTCCACTGTCTAGCATAAGTGTCCATTGCATGATTTTCATCGCGTAAATATCATAAGATTGTTTTCAATTTTCCCAGAACACTCGCCATACAAATCAAATCCTGCGGAGCTTTGGGCTTTCGTGAAATATCCTTATAAATGATGTTTCCTTGAGCTTCGAACAACTCCTTAGCATATTCCTGAGTAAAAAGAGATGAATCTCTGTCTTTTGCCGGTAACATTTCCTTGATGTTTTCTTATTAAATTTTGAGTTCATCCTGAACAGTTTGCTGTTGAAGAGCGAACTGAACAAACTACAAAAACAACAAACGATGTCATTCAAAGCCTAGTGACGTGGCGGCAACTGATTGGTTAAAACCACCTCGGAGGATTTTTCACGTGATGACATTTTCCCGCCTTTCGTTTTATTACGTAACAAAATTCCCGCCCTCAAAAAATACACTGTTAGGGACTTGTCAGAAATTAGCAGGGGGGGAGGGGGGGGTGGGAATTTTAAATTTGGGTTCGGAAATTAGGTGACCCACCCCTGCAATGGGAGTGAAATTTGCTAACCCTCCCCTTTAGCTTGGTCTAAAATATCATGACCCTCCCCACCTTACAGAATTGAAAGAAAAATGTTCCAGGCTCTTTAAGGTGCAGGATTCCAAGCCAACAAGACAAACAAATGAACAAGAAAAAAAAGGAAACAAAGCAAAATAAAAGCAAAGCAAAGAAAGCTAGGGCAAAAAGAATGGAAGCTAACTGCAAAGGAGCTATTGAAACCATATTACACCTCGGCAAGAATCGCGTGATATTACAGAGCCTATTGGCCCATTATTTCTTCATTATGAAGGAAAAAGTGGGTTCCTCAAAACGCAAAGGCCATATATCTTTGAGAAGGGTTGTTCACCAATGATTCTCAAACTCATTAATAATTCATAAAGAAAATACAAAGAAAATTAGTGTTTAATGAGTGTTTGGAAATCGGATGAAAAACTGCTCAGTATTTGCATCCTTAATTTCTCCTTCAAAAATGATTTTGTTTGAGAAGAAATATCAAACATTCGACACAGTGTTTCATCACCAGATGAAACACCTCGAAGTTCGTCAAAAATACTCCGCTGCGCATCGTATTTTCAACTCTCTTCTCGGTGTTTCATCTGGTGATGAAACACTGCGTCTCATGTTTGATATATTACATCACAGGACATTATCAAGCAATATCTACGCTTCAACTTAAATGAAAATCATGATGATGATAAAAGTGATTGTATCAATGCGAAGCTAATAAAATAAGATAGAATAAACAAAGTAAAATGCTGATGACATAAATGATGATGATCAAGATGCTCACAGCAGCATTGATGGTGATGCTGAAGACAGGGATGAAAAGGATAGCCAAAACTATAATAACATTAACAACAACATTATTCGTTTTTGCAATAAGACTCTATAGCATTTTTATAAATGAAAAGTAGATGTTTGTTAAGTACTTCACAGTTTATATCCATAATATTCCGTTGCTCTTCTTTTTTTTACGAAATAAAGAAATTTTGTTTTTCTTCTGTGGGTGAACCTCTACATGATCACAGGCATATATTTGCATGACCCTCCCCATTTTAAAGGCCCATTTTTCATGACCCCTCCCTTTTCTGAGTCTCAAAAAAGTTGTGACCCTCCCTCTGTTTCCACCCCCTCCCCCAGCTAATTTCTGACAAGTCCCTTATCTGCGAGTTTTGTAACGCAGAAGATTTTCGAGAGAAAATAAATAGCATTTCATTACTTTGATTTTGATTCTGCTATTTTGCATGCAAGATTCTCGTACGTGCGCCTTGATAAAAAGAACGTTTGTCTTACCAATCCCGCCGAGAAGTCAAAATCTTCGCTTTTATACAAGGGGAAACATTATCTCAGCCAGGGGCGTAGCCAGCATTTCGACTAGTTGTAGGCCGGGCTGACTTTCATTTCCACATATCCTGAAAATTGCACGCATGACTAGTACGCACTGACCTCACCAACACTTTGAGCTCTTAAGCTTTTTAGTTCACCCCAACAACGCATAATTTATTACAAGCAGTAGAGTGATCAAACCAAAAATTTGTAGTCCCGTCTTACAGGTCTATGGGCTGGCTACACCCCTGTCAGCAAATAACCGTAAAAACGCTTAAAAATATCTTGTCAGTTGTTGTTTACATGTAAACCTTGTGCTCGTATAATTTTTGACCGTGATTTATGGGGCAGAAAGCATTTTTCCTTGTTTAGGGATTTTTCAGTTCATTCATTCACAGCAGGTCAAATTTTTATTAGAGAGAGCTTATTCGTTTATTATTTTGAAGTGAATGATTATATTTCCGAAATTATATCGATGGCCCATGGATCGCCGTTTCTGTTAGGAATAAACGGCAGGGCTATAGCTGTCTATTCTCTCTTGAGACGCACTCAGACATTTATAGACCACAAGTAGCCTGTTTCAGGCGTTCAGCGAGTGTGGAGAAACGAGGAAACAGAACAGCGAGGAATTTATAATGTATTTAGGGAGCCCCTGTCCCTTTCTTCTGCTTTGTTTTTTATACGGTCATCTTACCGCCACTCCCCACTATCTGAACGCCTAGAACATGGTAGCCAAAAATCGACTTATATTTGTTCTCTTGAAAAAAGAAGACGCTTTTTAAAGCTATTTAGCAAAAAACCGCGCTGATGTCACCTATTGACATTTCGTTCCAACCAGACCGAAAAGAATTCTTTTGTTGTATGCCGCACGGTTGGGCCGAGGATAAATTGGAATTAGCCGAACCTGTGTATGAATCTTAAAACAGATCCAGTCAGTTTCTTCGCCATAAAGCGATCTGGTTTGGTTGGTCATGTTTACAGAGTTTTGCAATAAGTCCATGTACTAAGGGTTTCCTACTTTATAATAAGCTCACACGTTAAGGTGGCTCGATACAGTTTTTCAATGCCAATACCTCCCAAGTTTGAGGATAATCTACGTCGCCATCAACAAAGTTTTGGAAAAATTGCCACCACAGTTGTATTAGATAAAGATGAAAATTTGTTATGATCAGGGTTGCAATGACATCGGAGTTGTAATAGCAACGAAATGACGCTATTACCTATTTTACTTACAGAAGTATTTCTCGGCACTGGGAACTGTTCTTCCAAAATCATTCACGGGAGCTTTTTCCTCCAATAGCCGCCTCGATGTTAGTGAAGTTTAAGCGAAATCTGTAAGAGCGTTATCGAGATATTTTAGGATAAAGATTTTGTGGTTAGAAATACGGTGAAAAATGGATAATCTTGATGTTCGGCTGTTATCTGTAGAAAATGAAGCGCTTTTGACATGCAATTTCACCTCATAGTAGTTTCAATCTTTTTTAAAACGTGTGTGAAAGACCGTGGAGATAGCTCCAGCCGATTGCTAGAAAGAAGGATTTGATTAGTATGTATCGAGGCTCTTTTGTTAGCGGTTTTTGAACATTTTGGTCTACTTTAACAAATTAGCGAATAAGTTTTAAATTGCTCGATAGATTTTTTTTTTAAATTTAAGATTCTTGAGATTAACCTTCCTTTTATATGACCTTTTAGTTTCAAGATTTTTGATATATTGTAAGGCAGTAAAATAAGGGCTACAATTCGCCAATATTTTGGCAGAAATTTTGTGTTTACAAATGTGAGCCTCTCATTATTCAGGGTATTGTCTCCAAGTTTCATATTTTCGCGCATAACAATAGCTAGCATTTTTGCATATGTCAAATGCATTGTTAGTTATTGTTGTTCACGTGAAAATGAAACTTGGAGACAATGCCTTGAATAATAAGAGGCTTTCACCTGTAATAACGAAACGTCCGATAAAAAAGTAACGAATTGTAGCCCTTATTTTACTGCCTTACAATGTATCAATAATCTTGAAACTAAAAGGTCATATAAAAGAAAGGTTAATCTCAAGAATATTAAATTTTAAAAAAAATCTATCGAGCGGTTTAAAAACTATTCGCTAATTTGTTAAAGAAGACTAAAATGTTTACAAAACTGCTAACCAGAGCGCTTCTATACATGTTAATAAAACCCTTCTTTCTAGCAATCAGCTGGAGCTATCTCCATGATCTTTCACACACGTTTTTAAAAAGATTGAAACTACTACGAGGCGAAATTGCATTTAAAAAGCGCTCCATTTTCTACAGATAACGGCCAAACAACAATATTGTCCATTTTTTACTGTGTTTCTAACCACAAAAACTTCATCCCAAAATATCTCGATAACGCTCTTACAGATTACGCTTAAACTTCACGAACATCGAGGCCGCTATTGGAGAAAAAAGCTTCCGTGAACGATTTTGGAAGAACAGTTCCCAGTGCCGAGATATACTGCTGCAAGTAAAATAGGTAATAGCGTCATTTCGTTGCTATGACAACTCCGATGCCGTTGCAACCCTGATCACAACACATTTTCATCTTTATCTGATACAACTGGGGTGGCAATTTTTACAAAACTTTGTTTATGGCGACGTAGTTTATGCTCAAACTTGGGAGGTATTGGCCCTGAAAAACTGTATCGAGCCACCTTAAGCAGAACACAGCTCCAGGCTGGTTTTTGTCTAAACACTGTACTTTTTATGAGGCCAAGTTTTGACTGTTGATCTTTGCTTTTGGTACGCGAGGCTTGTTTTGAACTCAGTACATCTTGTCAAAGTTCTTGTCAAAAAACAATTGTCTTTCGTTTGTCACTGTACTCGCGTTGTACTTAAAATGAAGGTTTTGAAATGTGCACACGTCCACACGTTACTAAAAGTGGATGGGTGGTTTTAAGTATTGTTTTGTATTTTGTTGCAGGATAATAAAGGAAACCCCAAACCTGAACATGAATGGCCATCAGAGGACTTCTGGAGAATTCTCTACCCTCGTCTCTTTCCTGATTCATCACCTGAATGAGCGCATGAACAGGAGCAGGTTAGACATCACTGAAAGTTTTTGTGAAAGTTTATTTATTTAATGTTTAGTGAGACTTTCAGTGTTTGTGTGAACAGTTCAATTTTTCTGTCCGTCAGAGATAATCAAACACGCTCGAAACAGCCCGTAAAGAGAACCGGAGTCGGTGAGAAACGAAAACTGCCCTTCCTTTTCACTTTGCTCTACTCCGATCCACTCCCCACTATCTGAATGCTTGGAACAGGCTCGCCAAACATGACTTTTGCCTTGGAAGCTGTTTAGGGAAGATATCGCTTACTTTTCCTACTGACATTTTGTGCCAAGGAGACCAATTGGCTTTCGAAAAAATTTTGTTTAACAGTTGGTAGATCAACTAAGAAATTAGAAACAAACACCTTGTCTAAGATTTAAAAAACGAGTTCGTTTTTGTTCTCGTAAATTCCGATGAAGTGATCGATAACTCTCTGGTAGTTCGGATGGTTGCAGTGTATTGCAGCAAGTCCAGTCACTAGCGGAGGGGTTTCACACCTTGTAATTATCTCACCCCTTTAGCAGAACTCAGTTGCCGGCTAAATTTGCCCATCAGACGCTGTACTTGTTATTAGGCCAAGTTTTGATTTAATGATCTACACGGTCGGTACGTGCCGCCTGTTTTGAATTTAGTACATCTTGTCAAAGTGTTTGTCCATCTTTTTTTTCGTTGCTCACTTAAAATATCCTTTGTCTCTGTTCTATAATTCCATTGTTCTTAAATGAAGGTTTTGAAATGTGTACACGTCCACGCTTTATTTAAGGGAGATGGGTGGTTTTAAGTATTGTTTTGTATTTTGTTGAAGGATTATAAAGAAAACCCCGAAGATGAACATGAATGGCCATCAGAGAACTACTGGAAGAGTGAATACCCTCACCTCTTTTTTGATTCATTACCTGAATCAGCGCATGAGGAGGAGCAGGTTAGTCATCACTCACCTATTTTTGTGAAAGTTTATTTATTAAATATTTAGTAAGACTTTCAGTGTTTGTGTGAACAGGTCTATTTTTCTGTCCATCAGAGATAATCAAATACGCTCAGGGGCCTTCATTTGTAAGTCTCCATCGCGGAGGATTTCCGAGTTGGTGATACTGAGTTAGTTTTTAATACAGTAAAAACCTGCGTGTAAGAACCTAGTGGCTTAATAACCTGCTGGTAGCAATTTGCTTCTTTATTACCCAACAATATAAGAACCAGGTTGGCCAAACGAGATCACGCAAGTTCTTATCTGTGGGTTACAGTTAAATTAATCAGCTTATTCATCATCTAAAAAAGAGACTGAACAGGAACAGGTTAGTCACCAGCTTCGTTTGTTTAAGTTTGTGCAGCAGTCATTTGAAACTCCGGCCCCCCGGCCCCCGGAACGTAGCGGGGAATTTAACATTGGATTGGTGTTAAAACACCGCCAATTTCCCCGCTCCCCTGGCCAAGTAGTTTGTTCAAAGCCCCCTACAGCAGGGAATTAGTAAAGTGTAGTTCTAGGCTCGATTTCAACCGCTCTGTCCGATCTGGTATTCTGTATTTCTTAAAATTCAAACCATAGGACCTGTTCATTGAACCTCTCGATTGCGTTCCTTCAAATTCATGAAAAATGTTACCCTGGGTGCCGGAGGATTTTTTTCTTACCTAATTCCTGAGAACGGACCTCTGGAGCCAGTGTAGAAAAATGTGGTTAGATCGCTTACAAAACTGAGTAACTTCTGTATGGTATACTTGTAAGGGTAAGGGATCTTAAGCGAAACCCCGCGGGGGGGGGGATACTTCCTTCTATAAGCCATATAGGTATAGTCAACTCTCGCCTTGCGGACGCCCCGATAATACGGACAGCAGCTAAATTCTCCGTCAAAAACGAATTACAGACGTTTGACTTAAATAAACTCCCGCTATAACGGACTCTCGCTAATGAGGACACTAATTTGAGGTTCCTACAGTGTCCGCTATAAAGGGCCAGTTGACTGTAATTCCGACATAATTTCTGCCTAAATGTCAGGTGTGAAAACAGGTGTGGATTTTAGAGGTCAGGTCTGAAAAAGGGTGTGGAAAATAACACTTTTTGGTCTGAAATAGGGTCAGAATTTGGAGAACTAGGCGGCACACCCCCTCCGAGAATTACCCGGAGTACCCCCTGGGAAGCGACACAGCTCTGTCTTTCTCCAATTTCTAATCGTGAAAGTAATGGGAGAGGAATCGGGAAGTTTAGAAAGGGCTTTTGGGATTAATTTATCTTCGTTTATGTACGGGGTTAGCAAATGAGACTCAAATGAGATTTGTGAAGTCCTTTTGAGGCAACGCTCGACCAATGTGTAGGACGTTCTATACACTTTCTTTCTGTGTCTTGAGACTAGGGCAACCTGTTTTTGTGCTTTTTGCCCTGTTTCTCCTCTGTTTTAATATTATCATTCCCTGCGGCATCATCTCTCTTCTGCCGCCATACAAAACTTTTGGAAACGAGGCTTTTCCTTTAGTCAGTCATGTTAAATCCCCGCTTCTGTCCCCGCTTCCGAAAACTGGTATTACTGTTTAATCCCCGCTCATGACCTGGGTAAAACTAGTCTCCTTCGCATCCGTTATTAGGGTCGTCACGCAACGCTCCTCCATACTGGTGGTAGGAGCGTTGCGTGACGACCCTAATAACGGATGCGAAGGAGACTAGGGTAAAACAGGTATTTTGTTAATTTCCCCGCCACCGGGGCGAACATGTTAAATGTGCGTTAAATCCCGGCATTGGCCGCGTTGAATCCAAAAGGCCAAAAGTAGCCTATTTCCCCACTATCTGAATGCTTGGAACAGGCTAGCCAAAAGTGACTTTTGCCTTGGAAATAAAAGATTCCCTTTTTTTTAAGCTCGGTGTTTAGGGAAGATATCTCTGACATTTTGTGCCAAGTAGACCTATTGATTTTTGAAAAAAGAGTTTTGTTTAACAGTTGATTGATCAACGAAGAAATTAGAAACAGGCACCTTATCTATGAGTTAAAGAAGGAGTGTGTTTTGTTCTCGTAAACTTCCATGAAATGATCGATAACTCTCCGTCTGGTAGTTCGGATGGTTACAGTGTTTTGCAGCAAGTCCAGTCACTAATATAAGGGTTCGCACCTTGTAATTAGCTCACCTCTTTTGTTTATATTAAATAAGTCATTCACATTACAATCATACAAGATCTGTGGCAGATGCTGTCTCTAAAATGTTTTACCACGGCAGGCGGAAATCATGAAACATAAATGATTGTTCGTGTAATTTTCAATCACGTGACGGCACATTAGAGTTAAACTTGAAAAAGTTGGCCCAATTTTTTCAAGTTGCAATCCGTTTTCATCCAGGCCATGAAAACCAAAGTCTTAAATTTATAGTAGAGGTACAGTAGTAGGTAAAGCCATTTTAAATATAACTGAACCATCTTTTTAAGGTTTTCGTCATTCCAATGTGTGTTCGTTTTAAAAGTAATAAGTGCGCTGGTGGGCTTACAGTTACATAGAGAAGGTGGATGGTGTTTAACATCTTAAAATGTATGATTTTTGCCAGAACGATGGAGAAGTCGTTGAAACTGAAGAAGAAACCCCATTGTATGAATCAGTGGATGATCAAGAACGGGTGGGTTGCTGATATTTTTCATGAAGGTTTTTTTTAAGGGACTGCACAATAATTATTAGGAGGAGTAGGCCGGTTGTAAAAAGGAAGGGGCGTTTTCCATTGCTTATTCCCTATTCACACCAACTAAACGTGTTTTATTTAACTAGGTTTTAAAACTGAATGAAAAATAGCAAAAGTAAACTAGAACACAGGCTTTTACACAAAATTCAAATGAACTTTTACTTTGCAACCGGAAAAGGTAGCACAGGAGTTAAACTTGAAAAAGTTGGCCCCGTTTTTTCAAGTTGCAATCCATTTTCATCCTGGCCGGCATTGAAAGCCAACGACACAGGCAATTAAAGTTGAGGTATAGTAGTACGTCAAGTCGTTTTAAATAGATCTGAAGCATTATTTCAGGGTTTTCTTTCCTTCCAATGTGTGTTTTCCCTGCCAGCAGAGGTCTCTTTTCCCTCGTATTCAGCGGGCGGGAGGAAAAGAGCCCTCTCGTAGCAGGGAAATGTGTGTTTAGGGTTTAAAAATAATTCCAAAATGTCATGACATTGCTAGGCGCTCTTTAATGGCAGTACAAAGATGATGAACCTTTCGTTTTTTCACGTCATAGGAGATGGAAAACCAAACCTCCGAGTCCCAAGTCTTGCCTGAGTTAGAACAATTGTTCACTGTTGAGGTAAAGCCTTTCTACGACATTATTTTTAAACAGCGTTTAACGGCCTGTTTACATGAAAGTGAGGGGGACCCCAGGTAGGTGAGGTAACTCGCTTGGGTGGGGTAACGCGCCTGGCCATATAAATGTTCATTTTAATTTGATCACGTTTACATGATCACGTATCTGGGGTCTCCCACCTCCATGTAAACAGGCCCTCAGATAGATCCTCGCTGGAAACAGAATTAGGTATTTAGGCTTCTACTTGCGCGAGGCTGTTAAACGGCATCTCCGTTTGTTAATTGATGATGATGACCTTCTGACGTGTTTTTTACGTAACATCAAAAACTAAATGCGAAGTGTCGTTCTCCAGTTTCTGATTCTGAGTTACAAGGGAAAGCCTTCGTGGAAATGTGTTTTAAACATAGATAATAAGGCCTCTACCCTTGTCTTGAAATTTCATTTCGAAGTTTTCTGCTGTTGAATGTCGTTTCATGATTTATTTTGTGGCAGGACGAGAAAGGGAACCTCGAACTTGATAATGCAAGATCGTCCGTAGACTATGAGTAGTCTCTCTTTTATTCTTTGGGCTGCCGCCCTCATTTCTCGCGTGTCGTGGCTTCGCCGCTCGACTCACGCTCGCGCACGTGTTCACTGCCCTCACTAAATCTAAAGAAAAAGATAGACTGTTTGCAGTCTAGAATATTGTCAATGTTCTTCATTCAAAAGATGCGAAAAGTT